AAATATTTAAGATTAGGATTAAGAGAATAATAAAATCTAATAACACTAACAATAAGTTACTAATCGTCTGAATGATTGAATTTGTAACTAAACAGAGATTTGGTTCCGAAGATAATAATGCATCTAATGATCAACGACTCGAAAGATTTTATTTACGGCGAACTGTTGGCCTGTCTGTATGCGGCCGGCGATCAGGTATATGCTAAACGAGCCGTCCATTAGTTGCCATTCACTAAACCCTTTGATTTGTTGTGTGCGAAGACATCGATGATGGAGGAGTCACCTGAAGAGGAGCGCAGACGGGAGGAGATGTTGCGTATGTATCACGCGTGCAAAGAGGCGCTTCAGATTATCGGCGACGTCTCGATGGCCACCAGTTACTCACCGGCGCCCCCGCCCGTCAAAGACGACTGGTCGCTACGCAACTTAGCGCCCTCTCCCACACCACCGCCCGCGGCCTCGCAGCCCGTCAGTAGGCCTCCCGCTAATAATCCCAACCGACCTGCGCCGCCACCGGCTGCGGCCAATCCGTCGCGCGGAGCGCCGCCACCGCCCGGCCGGCCGGCGCCCAACGTTCCCGGACGCGGCGCACCGGCGCCCGGAAGGGGAGGGCCGTTACCGCCGCCACTCATTCCAACGTAAGTACTGAATGTTCACTGAATGTCGAATCGCTTTTGACACCCCTTTCGATGCTTTGAATTAATTTGACTGCAATTGAAACCTGCTTTTTGTGCTTCTGTTTGATGCCGCAGACGAGGAATGCCTAACGTTCCGCCGCGTATACAACAGGCAGTGACGGACACTATTCTCGATGCGTTCGGAATGCCTGTCCACAAATAATCTCAATAATCCTTATTTTCAATGCATTATTCAAATGACTATTCTATTATAAAAAACTATTACTAAAAACTATCAATTATAACAGAAAAGTTTCAGTGGTTTTATTGTTTGACTTATATTTGTTGAATACGACGGCGTTTTCGCACAAAATCTATACAAATCATTACAAATCTATATATTTACTCGATATATAATATTTATTTAAATATATCATTAGATTTTAGCATTTATTTAGCAGATATTTACGATATATTAGCGATTAAAATAAAATAAATCTAAATATATATATATCAGTATTATTTTGAGATAAAGATGGTTATATAATAAGTAAATTATTTGAAAGTAAATTATATATAAATATATTAATTATAAGTAAAGTATATCACAAATGATAAGACAATTAATTAAGCAGTTGTTTTAGCCGTAAATATGAGAGAATGTATTGACAATTATATGAATATAAAATATATACGAAATATATTCTTTGATTACATGATATTATAAGATATATATATTATATATATAATTAGTAGCGTTAACGCCGTTGTTGTTACTGTTGTCGTTATTAACACAATATTACAAATACAATACAAGAAAACAATACAATACACGAAAAATAATATGTATCTCAATGTCTATAATAGGCGTAATGTTCCGCTTTACCCGTCGACCGCAAACGATAGACCTTTAATACCGCCTCGAATTCCCGATCGACCGACGAGTCTCACAAACCATCGATGACTGACACACAGACAAACCATTTGTTGATTTAAATTAAGAATATTTTAAAGAGTTTTCCGAGAAATCCATAGTATATTGAAATGCGGACGCGTTTGCCTCACATTCCAGCTATTGTTTAATATAATGAACATTACAAACGACTAAATTATATATATTATAATGAAATTTTATTTAAGTATTTCTCT